TGGGCAGATTTTCAACACAGACATTTCTTCCTAAGTGCTAAGATTCTCCCTTCTCTTCCCCTACCTTCCCCCCCCCCCCCAAAAAAAAAAAAAAAACAAAAAGAGCCAGAGGACTTTTTTTTAATTTCAACACTTTTCAGCTATCCAAAGCTACATGACCATTCATTTTTCTTTTGGAACCACGTCCCATAAATAGCACTAATTTGTATTTTCCCAAGTCTCCATAAGAACTAAGTCAAATAAAGACAAGACAAGCAGCAATGGATTGCCATCTGCATAATATATCAGATGAGTGTCGCATGAAAAAGGTAATCAACTTGAACAAAATAACTAACCTTCATACTATGCTTGGCTTACTGATCTGTAATTATAATAAAATAATAATACCTAGCTCTCATTATAGTAATTTTTATCAGTCGGTCTCAAAGCACTTTACAAAGGAGGTCGGTAACATTATCCCCAGGAAAGATAAGAATTTGCATTATATGTAAGTAGGGATACAATTTTAAGAGGATTGTCCTCTGATAATACAAATTATTAAAAGGTAAAAAAAAATTCAACTGATAAAAAGTTATTAACTGTAGTAAACTAACTTTTTTTATTCTGATCTGTGGTCTTAACTGTAAGAGTGCTTTGCGAATATGTGATATGTAAAACAAATCAAGATTGCTGTATGAAATAACTCTAATATACTTGTGACAGGTTAGATCATAGAACCCCCCTTGAGAGCTGCCATCCGATGTGGTAGACTACTTCTACCCCTGCCTTCCCTGCCATCTCAGGACTCCAGCACCCTGTCTTGCTGAGCCAGACATTCCCATCTGCTCCAACAAAGACCCAGGGTCTGAATTACTTGCCCCAAAGCTGCAGGTTTACCTGAAAGCAGCTAACAGAAGTGTTCCTGTCTTTAACACTCAGATGCCCAACTCCCAATGGGGTCTAAACCCAAATAAATCCGTTTTACCCCATATAAAGCTTATACAGGGTAAACTCATAAATTGTTCGCCCTCTATAACACTGATAGAGAGATATGCACAGTTGTTTGCTCCCCCAAATATTAATACATACTCTGAGGGCTGGTCTACACCCAGCCGCTAGTTCGGCGGCTGGGGATCGAAGTTCTGGGTTCGACTTATCGCGTCTGGTCTGGACGCGATAAGTCGAACCAGGAAGTGCTCGCCGTCGACTGCGGTACTCCAGCTCGGCGAGAGGAGTACCGCAGAGTCGACGGGGAGCCTGCCTGCCGCGTGTGGACCGCGTCTGCACCGCGGTAAGTTCGAACTAAGGTATGTCGACTTCAGCTACGTTATTCACGTAGCTGAAGTTGCGTACCTTAGTTCGACTTGGGGGGTTAGTGTAGACCAGGCCTGAGTTAATTAATAAGAAAGAAGTGATTTTATTAAATACAGAAAGTAGGATTTAAGTGGTTCCAAGTAGTAACAGACAGAACAAAGTAAGTCACCAAGCAAAATAAAATAAAATGTGCAAATCTATGTCTAATCAAACTGAATACAAATAGGCTATGGCTACACTGGCGCTTTACAGCGCTGCAACTTTCTCGCTCGGGGTGTGAAAAAACACCCCCCTGAGCGCAGCAAGTTAGAGCGCTGTAAAGCGACAGTGTAAACAGTGCCCCAGCACTGGGAGCCGCGCTCCCAGCACTGTAAGCTAATCCCCTCATGGAGGTGGAGTACCTGCAGTGCCGGGAGAGCTTTCTCCCAGTCAGGGCCGGCTCCAGGGTTTTGGCCGCCCCAAGCAGCCAAAAAAAAAAAAGACCGCGATCGCGATCTGCGGCAGCAATTCGGAGGGAGGTCCTTCGCTCTGAGGCGGAGTGAGGGACCGTCCGCCGAATACCTGGACGTGCCGCCCCTCTCCGGAGCGGCCATCCCAAGCACTTGCTTGACAAGCTGGTGTCTGGAGCCGGCCCTGCTCCCAGTGCTGGCACGCGACCACAGTCGCAGTTTCGACTGTAGCCACAGCCATAATCCCACCCTCAGAGATGCTTCAGTAAGTTTTTTTCCTCAGACTGGACACCTTTCAGGCCTGGGCACAATTCTTCCCCCTGGTACAGCTCTTGTTCCAGCTCAGGTGGTAGCTAGGTCATTCTTCATGATGGCTCCACCTTTGTTCTGTTCCACCCTTTTATATAGCTTTTGCATAAGGCGGGAATCCTTTGTCCCTCTCTGGGTCCCCGTCCCCCCTCCTTCTCAATGGAAAGACACCAGGTTAAAGATGGATTCCAGTTCAGGTGATATGATCACATGTCACTGCAAGACTTCATTGCCCACTTGCCAGCACACACATATACAGGAAGACTTACAGGTAAAACACACCCATCTGCAGACAATTGTCCTGGCTGATGGGAGTCATCAAGATTCCAAACCACCATTAATGGCTCACACTTTACATAATTACAATAGGCCCTCAAAGTTATATTTCATATTTCTAGTTTCAGATACAAGAGTGGTACATTTATACAAATAGGATGATCACACTCAGTAGATTATAAACTTCGTAATGATACCTTACAAGAGACCTTTTGCATGAAGCATATTCCAGTTACATTATATTCACTTGTTAGCATATTTTTATAAAACCATATAGACTGTAACGTCACAATACTATATGAAGCCTTTAAATACCAAAAAAGTAGATAACTTCATCAAATTAATAGTACTGCTTGGTTTAGTTTTACAGACATTGTGGGTTTAATTCTGCCTCTGGGGTGTGCTGAAGGCAAACAGGTTCATGGAACCCTTGTCTCCTGTTCCCAGTGCACCTAGAAAGGGGGCAAACATAATTCAGCTCTCAGAGCTGGGAAGTACAGTACAAAGAGGAACTTATTGGTACTGGTAGAATTAGCAGCTGCAGAGGGGGGAGGTATGGCAACGGTTGAGCAACTGTGCTGGGAAAGTGCTGGCTATACTTGTTGAACAGGTGTAGTAAGAGATGCCCCTCCCAGTACTCCCCCCAAGGGTACGTCTATATTTACCCGCTGGTTCGGCGGCCAGCAATCGATCTTCTGGGATCGATTTATTGCGTCTTGTCTAGACGTGATAAATCGATCCCGGAAGTGCTCGCCGTCGACGCCGGTAATCCTGCTCTGCGAGAGGAGTAGGCGGAGTCGACAGGGGAGCCGGCCTGCTGCGTGTGGACCCGCGGTAAGTACCTTTAAGTTCGAACTAAGATACTTCGACTTCGACTTCAGCTACGTTATTCACGTAGCTGAAGTTGCGTATCTTAGTTCGAACTGGGGGCTTAGTGTGGACCAGGCCCAAGACTCTTCAATGCTGCTCAAGTTTTAACAGCCATAACTCAGCCCCATGTTCACACCTAACAATTACAGGAGAGTTTGATTTACATTTTAAAAATTAAGTAGCACTTTTGAGTTGTCAACTGTCTTTGTGACGTTCCAACTGGACTAAACTGACCAGCACCTATTCTTGGAAATTGTAAACTGCAATATAATAATCAAGAAAATAAAGCAATTAAATTACTATTGACTTCAGCTAATAGCAAGACAAATATTAACTTTCAACTTACAAATAATTTTGTAGTCTATATTTATTCTAAGACTTTGTTTTTGAGTTTCCATCCAATAAATAATTAAGATGTGCTAATACCTCCTGTCCGAATGTTATGCTATCTATAATAGCTCCACTGCAAAAGCCTACAAAAGTGATTGTTGCCAGTAGACATCAAAGCTGTTTTCTAACAGGATTTCTGACTAATTTGCCACAATCAAATCCTTTTCTGGCATAATATATTTTTTAATCTTTAAAGTTAATTTAGAGAGACAAATACATCCGAACAAAGCCACTGCAGAGTTACCAGGTGAAGTAAAAGGGTAAATAGTTTATGGAACTATTCACCCAAAGCACAGCCAAAGATTAAACGCTGTGGCACAACATTCATCCATGGTGAATATGTGCTTGCAAAACAAAAATTCACAAAATTTGACTCTTTGAAGGAAGACCTATACACTACTCATTCAAATTTCTTCTCTCTGCTATTAAAATTGTTGTTTCTAAATACCATAAACATGTTTGTTTATTATATCTCAGTTTTATTCTTACTTCACTCCTTTGAATAAATATGAAATACCAAGTATGCCCATACAAAATAATTTTAAAGATTTCATTTAAAAAAAAATAAAAATACAGGAATACAGGGTTTGCACCTGTAAATTGTCACTTTTTTGCTCCCTAGGGATGCAAGTATTATTATGCAATTATCTGCTATTTTGTTCTACAGCATTCAGACAGCAAAATGACCTTACACAATTGTAAATTTGGTAGTGTGAGCCAAAAATTTGCAAGCATTCACTTACCAATATAGAATCAACCTTCTTCCCTAAACTATCTAAAATCAAAGTATAAGAAGAGTAAGTCAACAAGGTTACAAATTAGAGATTAGTCATGCTCTTTATATTTTTTTAAAAAGATTAAAATTCCCACGTGACATATCATTCTGCCATCACAGTGGGCTTTACAGTACCTCTGAAAATAATCTGCCAACAAGCAAGCAATCTCGCTAACCTCAATCTCAGTTTCTCCAATGATGAAGGGAAAAAACAGAAAATAAGAGATTTAATTACCGCACTAGATGTGACTGGTTACCGATATGTTTTAAAAAAAGGTTATCCTTTTTTGTAGTCAAAAAAACAAAGATTTCACAAAAAATCCTCTTAGTTTTCATTAAAGATTAAGGCAACTGCATACAAGCAACTCTTCCCCAACAGTTTCTCTATTCTCACATCCCAGATACCAACCTTAGAGGAGGGGGAAAGGCTTCCCTTTAGGTACATAAATGTACCAAAATAGAAGGCTTCCCTTTAAGTTCTATCACCTCTAATTTACCATCTTTATTATTTACTCTCAATGTTCTACATTCAGAAGCAAATCTTCTCCATATATTTCAGCCATAACTAAATGAAATATTTACAAGGTGCTACTATTAAGCAGATGTGCCACATAATTAGCAACAACAAATCCACTTACTTTTTTCTCCTTCTCATGATGTTTATCCTGAGAGTGAGAGGAAGAATCACTTAAACTTTGATCATATGACCTATTAGATCCCCGTTTGCTCTTTTTCTAAAAAGAGAAGATATATTTATGTATGTAAAAAAGGAACCATTTAAATAAATTACGGAACAATCCATTTCAACTGAGTTTGATAAAAATGCCTTACTGCTCCACACACCAAAAAAAAAAAAAAAAAAAAAATTCTTTTAACAGAGCCTGACAAAAACTGACACTGCTGTTTGAAGTGTTAATGTTAACTATCCCAAACATACCAGAAGTCAACTACCCTCAGATTGACATTTGCAGCCTATCAATTTGCAAATATGCTTTCCACAAAAGAGCCAATAACCACCTTTTAACAATGTTAAATTACACTTAGATATATTTTCACCTTCTGGTAACTTAAAACAAAAAAGATTTTGCTCAAGTGAGAATATGGTAAGTCATGGTGCTGACACTGCCATTAAGTTAAACAAGACACAGGGGAAAATGCATACTTGAGGCATGTCTCAAGTGCACTGTGAGGAGGAGGGGTTCTGGCTTCATGATTTATTATTCAAATAAATACCAATCTGGAGTATCTTATCAGTTATGAAACAGAAATTGAAAAACTATTTTTAAAAAAAGATACAAGAATGTCAAGTTAATACATTAATTTACTGGTGACAGATAATGATTTTTTTTTTTGTATTATAATAATACCCAGGAGCCCTTGTTAGGGACCAGGACTTCTTTGTGCCAGGCGAGTGTCCAAAATTCTGAAGTCACTTCATAATTCCACAACAAAACAGGCAAAGCATTTCTCAGTGATTACACCAACATTAAGGGATTTTAAAGACACTACGCCCAATGCGGATTATCTAACCATCCTAGGTTCTCAAGGTTACAACAGAAATTCGCGACCTAGGTGTCTTACAACTACTATAAAGGGAAAAAACTGTGCATTTACTAGCCATTATTGACAGGACCTCACTAACAGTCCATCAGAAAGCTTCATATAACCAACATTCTCTAGCCAATTTATTATAGTTGCTGTTTATATTTCAGTCTTCTGGTGGAAAGCCACGCACCACATAATATTTAATATATGGGGATTTTTTTATATAAAAGAAATACTAATTTGATAACAGTGTAAGTATCCTTAAATCATGTCTGCACTGAAGCACTGAGGACAACAAATTCAGTGTTAGTGTAAACATCAGTTGAGTCATTTAAATTCAGCCACTGGTGTAAGAAGGCATAATTTCACTCTAGGATTTTAATACTATTTTAATAAACAAAAGCTGTAAATCCTCCAAGTCTGAACACATACATTAATATGAAGAGATATTCAGGATTATCAAACTGATGATCATCAGAAGAGGTACAAGCCACTCAACTCACAGGGTCTGATCCAAAGCCCACTGAAGTCAATGGGAGTCTTTCCACTGACTTCAAAGAGCACTGGATCAATCCCTAAAGCATCCCCTTTCTGGTGTGCTTCAGAAAAAGACAGTTAGCCAAGGATCTCAGCTGAATGTAGAGTAATAGATCAACACGCAGAATGCTAGGAGAAGGATAACAGAAGAAGGAAAGAAGAATTTGTGGGCTGATATATCCTCCAATACATGGCTTGCCAAGAGGAAAAAATTTGTTAAGATGCTTCCAGAAGAATATGTAAGTGTGGCCAAACTAATCAAATAGGAAGAGGAAACATTACAGGACCTTAATGCAAACAGACATAGGTGCCAACTCCGTGGCAGCCCCACCAATCAGCTCCTCTCCCTCCCCCCAGCGCCTCCCGTCCACTGGCAGGCCCCGCCAATCCACCCCTCCCCCTTCCTCCCACTGCCTCCTGCCCGCTGCGATCAGCTGTTCAGCAGCATGCAGGTGGCACTAGGAGAGAGGGGGAGGCACGGGGAGAGGGCGCGCTTGGGGGTGGAACCAGGGCAAGAAGAGGTGGGGCAGGGCAGAGCAGGGGCACAGACTGGGATGGAGCAGAAGTCGAACACCCCCAGGGAAGTGGAAAGTCGGCGCCTCTGAAATCAGAAGCTCATTTTGAACAATACAAGTCTATTACATGTCTTTTTTTTTTTTAAGTCATTGTCTAAACATGCTCCCTATTTTTCTCTGACAGAGATAATACATTCCAAAGCAAACGTTTGTTCATAACACTATAATACATTTTCAGGAAGTATTTCTGCCCTCAAAATTAAATCATTACCATAAGGAAAAAACAAGAATATTTTCCACATAATTTTGTATAATTTTATTCAGTTTCTTGTATAAGCAACACCCTAACCCACATACAATACTATTTTAATTGCTATTAGTAACAAAAGTCATTGAATAAAAATTCAAGTTAGTGTCATATTTTATATACTGAATTCAATAAATTCTTACCAGCTTACTAAAATGGTATTTACAGTAGCCACAGTATTGGACATTATCTGCACCATTACCCTCTTCTTCACAAAGAAGTCCTGCAAACTGTGCACTGGGGGGGGAAAAAAATAACATTCAAGATCAAAAGTAATTTTATACCAAATCACCTCAAAATCTCTAGAAGAGACTTTCAAATATAGATGCCTAAAGTTAGTGGGGAGATTTCCAAAAGGCATAAACAGGAGTAGGACATGCAACTATCACTGACTCAATGCGATGTGGTGCCTAACTTACCTTTGTTAAGTCTTCCCCTACACTACTAAATCCATATTTAGACATCTAAATAAGGCACCAGTCCAACAATGCATCCGCTTAGCTGCAGAACACGTTTAAAAAAAAATCAGACCACTTACTAAGGTTCCTAACTATGAACTTGTCCACATTTGTCTACACTTGTGGCAGTGTGTAGGGTACGCGTAGCTACACGGGGTAGTGAAAGGCAGCCTGCATCCACACTCACTGCTGTGTGTAGTTACACAAGGCACTGAAAGGATCCAGAGGGGGAAAACAGCAGGGAAAGGCTCCAGCAGCAGCTACCACAGCTTTTCTCCACTGCCTTCCCCACCACAGTGAAAGGCTTCAGTATGGGGGAGCTACCAGAGCCTTTCTGTGCTACCAGTCTTTCACTGCAGCAAGGAAAGACTAGCAGTGGGGAGACAGAGGGACACAACATTACTAAATATAGCAGTGTAGATATGAGAGGCACTGTTTGGGTGCGTAGAGAGCCATGTAAGATATATGCCCTAAGGTTCAGGCATACAGGGCATTCTACTTGCCTAAGCAGTGCCTTCCCATCTATACTGCCATTTATACCCATGCTAGCTGGGCAAGCAGTGTCTGTACTTTACACGCTGCCATAAGTGTAGATCTACCTTCAAACTCTTGGCCCAAAAAATTTCATTTATCTAAGCAAAAGAATAGTTTTCAACAGACAGATGCTTCACAGAAGAGTAGAAATTGTTCAAGTCCTGAACATGTCAAAAAGCTACTCTTCTAACCTACCAGTGGAAATGCATTAATAGAAAATATAAGGATTAAAGAATTTTTAAATAAAACTGCAAGTACCATAACAAATGAAGCCATATTTTATTGGTTTAAAATGGTCAGTATTAGATGAATGTTTTTTAAAAACCCTCAAAAGTTTCCTTGCCTGCATTAATAGTTTGTTCTATTGAATCTTCAAAAGCAATAATTCAGTAGAATAAGAAGTTACTCACTTTGTGCAGTAATGATGGTTCTTCAAGATGTGTCCCCCTGTGGGTGCTCCACTGTAGGTGTGCTTGTGTCCCTATGCTGCAGATCGGAGAACTTCAGCAGCAGTGTCCATTAGGCCCGCACATCCGCTGTCTCTCCTCATGCCCCGCCACGAGGCCAGCCAGTGCACGTGGGCTAACCCCTGCTCAGTTCCTTCTCTACCACATAGTCATTAGGAAGGCCAAAAATAACTTGAAACTCAGCTAGCCAAAGGCTCAAAAAGTAACGGCTAAATTTTTTTAAGTACATCAGAAGCAGGAAGACTGCTAAACAGCCAGTGGGTCACTGGATAATCAAAATGTTAAAGAAGCACTCAAGGGGGATAAGGCCGTTGCGGCGAAACTACATGAATTCTTTGTATCGGTCTTCACAGCTGAGGATGTGAGGGTTATTCCCCAACTTGAGCCATTCTAGTTAGGTGACAAATCTGAGGAACTGTCCCAGATTGAGGTGTCATTAGAGGAGGTTTTGGAACAAATTGATAAACTAAACAGTAATAAGTCACCAGGACCAGATGGTATTCACCCATGAGTTCTGAAGGAACTCAAATGTAAAACTGCAGAACTGTGGTATGTAAATCATTTAAAGCAGCTTCTGTACCAGATAACTGGAAGTTCGCTAATGTGATGCCAATTTTTTTTTAAAAGGCTCAAGAGGTAATCCTGGCAATCACAGGCTAGTAAGCCTAACTTCAGCACTAGGCAAACTGGTTGAAACTATAGTAAAGAACAGAATTATCAGACACATATATGAACATAATGTGTTCGGGAAGAGTCAACATGGTTTTTGAAAAGGGAAATTGTGCCTCACCAATTCACTAGAATTCTTTGAGGGGGTCAAGAAGCATGTAGACAAGGGTGATACAATAGCTATAGTGTACTCAGATTTTCAGAAAGCCTTTAACAAGGTCCCTCACCAAAGGCTCTTAAGCAAAGTAAATTGTCATGGGATAAGATGGAAGGTCCTCTCCTGGATCAGTAACTGGTTAAAAGATAGGAAACAAAAAGTAGGAATAAATGATTAATATTCAGAATGGAGAGAAGTAAATAGTGATGTCCTCCTGGGATCTGTACTGGGACCAGTGCTGTTCAACATACTCATAAATGATCTGAAAAAAGGAGTAAACAGTGAGGTTGCAAAATTTGCAGATGATATAAAACTACTCAAGATAGTTAAGTCCAAAACAGACTGCGAAGAGTTACAAAGGGATCTCACAAAACTGGGTGACTGAGGAAAGTAAGTATTTCTTTACATAATGCACAGTCAACCTGTGGAACTCTTTGTCAGAGAATGTTGTGAATGCCAAGATACTAACAGGGTTCAAAAAAGAACTAGATAGGTTCATAAAGGATAGGTCCATCAATGGCTATTAGCCAGGATGGGCAGGGATGGTGTCTCTATCTCTGTTGCCGGAAGCTGGGAATGGGCAACAGGGGATGGATCACTTGCTGATTACCTGTTCTGTTCATTCCTTCTAAAGACCTGGCATTTGGCCACTGTCAGAAGACAGGATAGTGGGCTAGATGGACCTTTGGTCTGACCCAGTATGGCCATTCATATGATCTTATGTTCATTGAGAAGGGTCCTTGAAGAGGGACGGGGAAGGGTGTTGTGGAGAGGGTAAGGAGAACCCATTGCGAACAATCTCCAAGACCCATCGGTTCGATATGCATTCCCAGGTGCTGCGGAATGTTGCCAGACAGAAGCCAAATTGGTAGATAGTGGCGGTCAGCTGTAGTAGTTGGGAGGAGTGGTCTATAAACGCCTCAATCAACACATCAAAACTGGTGCTTGGAAGTGTATGGCTGGGACATGGAAAATTGTGGGCCAGATGGTTTACGCCTCGGGAACATAGTTTTCTCTCTCTGTGGCTCGTAGTAGCGCTGGGTCAGGTTTGGGAGGCGCATGGCTTATGATGTGGCTGCGGACTAAATTTCCTCTTTTGTCCTGGTGTGTAGATACCCACTGAGCAGAGGGTGGTCCTAGAATCCTTTAGTGTGTGCAGAAAGGCGTCCATCTTCTCCACGAAGAGCTTAATGCCTTCAAAGGGAAGGTCTTCAATTGTTGACTGAACTTCTTTTGGGAAGCTTGACAGAGGTAGCCACAACATACGTTTCATAATCACTGCAGTGGAGATGGACCTGCCCATTCTGTCAGCTGCATCGAAGGCAGATTATAGTGCTATCTTGGCCACCAACTGTCCCTCTTGAATAATCGCTTTAAATTGGTTGCGGTGTGACTCAGTCAGCTGTTCAATAAAATAGTTCAGTTTCCCACATTTTACATAGTTGTATTTCGCCATTAGGGCTTGGTAATTGGCTATTCGAAACTGTAGCATGGCCAAGGAGTATTCTTTCCTCCCAAAAAGATCCAAATGCTTCTAGTCCCCATCGTAGGGAATGGACCTCATCTGGTGTTGATGGCCACGGGAATTAACAGAATCCACCACAATGGAGTTGTGTGGAAGGTGGAAGAAGAGGAATTCTGTCTCCCTTGCTGGGACGTAACATTTTTTTATCCGCCCGCTTGCAGGTAGGTGCTACCGATGCTGGGGTCTGTCATTTGGTTTGCAGGGTCCAGGAGAGATCATTAATAGGGAGGGCAATTTTTGAGGACAAGGATGAATGGAGTATGTCAAGGAGTTTGTGGTGGGTGTCCTTGACTTCTTCTAACAATATCTTAAGAGTGTCTTCGCTAGGTCCCGGAAAAGGCAAAAGTCATCAGCCAGAGATGGTGGGGGAGGTATAGCGGCCTCATCTGGGCAGGAAGAGGAGGATATGGTCCTTGGGGTCACCTCTTCCGCAATGTCGTCCTCCCGTTCCGCCACAATTTCTTTTGGAGGTTCCAAAGTTCCGGATGCCGCGGCCAAAGGGGTGCATCTCAAGGGTTCTCCGGTAGGGCTAGAAACCCGAGAGGCATGGGAGCAATATGCAGCCCAAGGGCCCCAGTATGGCCACTGAGGCGGTGGTGGTGCCCATGGTTGACCATACCAAGGTGATGGTGGTGGGGCCATCTGAGGCTATGCTCAAGAGCCTTGTTGGTATTGGGCACCATAGGGAGCCTGGGAGAAGTATTGCAATATTGCCTCCTCTACTTTGCTGTCCAAGTACACACTTGAGAGTGGGGGAACGTGGCAGGGCAGCAGGGAAGACTCCTGTCCCATACAGATACTCGGGGCAGAGATCCCTGTACCGAGGAGACTCTGGTACATCAGATATGCAGAGGTCTCTTGAGTGACAGAATTCTGGCGGTACCAATCAACTTGATGCCACTGGCAATACCAGGGAGGATGGAGATATTGCCCACACCAACTGCTCTGGTGCTGATGGGGCATCCATGACAGTGCCAATGGAGTATCAAATATTGGCAATATCTTCTTAGAGGAGTGCTTACTCCTATACTTGTCCCTTGGTGCCGTTGACTCAGTTCCTATGTCCATCGGGTCTGTAGGCTCATCAGCAGCACTTGCCGCTATAGATCTTCATGAACTTTGCATACCAGGCTGGGATTGACTCAGTGCTGATGGTACCAAGCGCACAGGAGATAGTTTACAGCCAGCTTGCAGTAAACTGTCACTGTGGGGACTTCCCACTCTCTTTTTCGATGACTTACGAGAGGGGTCATCAGCTGGTTTCTTCAACCCAGAGCCTTTGCATGTTATGGGCTGTGGGAAAGACTCATGTCTGCCAGGTGACTCTTGGCGTGGGTCCAGAGAGCCGTCTCCATGAAGATAATCTTGTGTCTCAGCTCATTTTCCTTAAGAGACCTGGGCTTGAGTTTCTGGCAGAGACCACATTT